CAGTTAGGGACTGTCTCACTGTATGATGGATTACTAAGTAGCCATGAACACAATCCTATTTCAGTATTTATAGATGATGGGAAATGTTAACAGTATGTACCCTGTTAACATGAGTTAATATTTGAGGGTGTCACTACTTTGCTGTCAACAACTTGCTGATCCCATGAAAAGACATTCTACTGAGGTTGCAGGACATAAGCACAACTGTGACTCTCTCTCTGAAGGGATGATGTGGTCATTAAGGAGCAGCTGTGAACCCCAAGGAACACAGGGAGAGTCACCTTTGAAAAAATGACATGGGCTTTTCAATAAAATACTGAGTTTTGCCAAATTCAATGTTTTGTTTGACTCTGAAAAATTCGTCCGGGAGGAGAGTCTTAAAACACAGGCTACATTGCTCCAGGGTGGTTTTTTATTTCTACACTAACCAGTCAATGTGCCCATGTCTTACTTTATGAAAATGTGACTTATAAATCTTCACATTTTAAGTACAGACAATCTAATCTTAGAAGGGGATTTAGAGATGAATTAGTCTCCCTTTTCTCATTTAATTGATAAGGAATTCAAGATGGAGACAGAATAGGTAACTTGCTTAGTTACTATCCTTAGTAGATAATAAACGTAACTCTTTGTTTTGCTTAACGAATGACCCCATCCCAACAAGCAAGCAGACACTCTGAGGATGACAATGAGAGCGCGTGGGCAACAACAGAGAAAGCTCCTGTCCTATCCTTGCAAACACCCCTCCCCTGCTACCCGGGATGCACTCAACAGCAAGCCTTGGGGGGTGGGGGGGGAGAGGGGGGAGACACCATCACAACAGGGCTCACTTTACTGTATATCAGATATTCACTCCAGAAAGCCAGGTTCAGTGCCAACATAATAGATCCTTTTCTGACCTTTAGGAGTCTGAGTTCTCAGTGTCCTTTTCAACCAAGGGAAGTCTCTCACTTTGCTATTTAACATTTTAGGTATTCATATCTTAGAATAAATTCCTTTATGCTGTGAATCATGGTTTTATGCAAAGCAGAGCTCATTATAATGCCATAAATGTTAGTAGAATTCCCCTCAGATTGTCTAGGAAGCAGCACAGACTAATAAAATATATTAAGGCGCTTTCTTACTTTCTTCTTTATCAATGAGTTATTCCATACAGTCCTAATTGCAAATTAATTGATAAAAAAGCAATGAGAAAATTTTGGCATGATCCAACTCCATCATAGCTGATATTAAATAACCTTAGAAAATAAAACATTTTCCAACTGAGTTAATACAAAATATAACTTTAATAAACATTGTGTCTCAGGTGGCTTTTATATTTGAAAATACTGGTTTGTTGGTTTTAGGAAAATAGATTCAATGTTCTTACTCCTGTTCATTTAAAACAATGGTTTTCTTTTCATAAAGGTTAATTGGTTTTCTATACTGCATAACAATAATTATGTTTTCCAAAGAAGAAACTATGCATATTTTCCCTTCAAATCATGCTCCTAAGGCAGGTGCTCAGTGCTGATGTTACAATGTCATTATGGTCTCCCTTTAGGTTTCTTAAAATAGACATGTAGCCCAAGACCATAGCAAAAGAAAGAGGAAGAACTTCATCCACTGACGAAGGAGTCTAAAGTGATCATTTTCTCAGCTGAGTCCTTGAACATACACTGAGCATATGTGTGTATGGGGCAGATTCCTTTTGAAAATAGAACTACAGCTAATTGCTACTTTATGAAGCAAAGCCGGGGAGCAAAGTCCCTCCTACACTGGGAGGGAGCTGCGGTTCCAGCTCAGCCTGCGCGGAAAGCATTTGGTTTTCACCAGATTGGCTGAAAGCTGCCTTAGTCCAGAATTGTTCTGCAGTGGGCCCAGAGTCCTGCGCAGTCCTGGGGATCAGCTGACCTGGTCTTGGGGGTTCTGCTCAACAGTAATATGGTCTGGACTATTGTGGACTCCAGAACAGGGGTCAGCAAACTATAGTCCTTGGGCCAAAGCTGGCTTGCTACCTGTTTTGTAAATAAACTTTTATTGAAATACAGCCAAGGCCATTTGTTTATACTTAGTTCTTGGCTTTTCATCCTACAGTGGCAGAATTGAGTAGTGGGTAAAGCCAGAGATATTTACTATCTGGTCCTTTATATCTATCTCTATCTCTATCTCTATCTCTATCTCTATCTCTATCTCTATCTCTATCTCTATCTCTATCTCTCTCTCTCTCTCTATCTCTATCTCTATCTATATCTATCTATATCTATCTATATTTACATCTACAGATATAGATACACACACACACACACACACACACACACACACAAGTTGCTGACCTCTGCTCTATAAGAATCTGGGATGGATGTTCAGTACTATATCTAGAATCAACCACAAAGCAAGCAAAAGCCATTGGATCACCGACTTTTATGCCAAGTTTACCATGTTCATATGTCTCAGGAGGGTATATTCTTTGAGACTGTATATTTGGAGGCTTTTTAGGGGGCAAATTATCATGGAGTAGAGAGCCACCGTTGGGTGGCACTTGATCCCACACTGTCCTTTACCAGAGGGGGACACTTGCCCTTGGTTTTCAGTCCTGCTGTCTGACGTCCGTGTGCTGCCCGCCGTGGCTGCAAAGGCTCATGCTGTCACTCCTGGCTGAGCTTCCCGTTCACAGCAGCCAAAACACGAGGCTTAGCTAAGCTTGAGCTACACAAATGTCCCGCTGAATGAGCAGGCTGATGGCACAGGAAGTGTGAAATGTAAGTGGGGAATACTGGCCAGTTCGGCAGTGGAACAGAGATGGGAGTGGGCACACTGCGGTGGCTGCTAATGAGAAAGAAGACGAGGAGATGATATTCTGAGGTCCTCGCTTCCTACGGGTGTGAGTCACTCTGGCTGGCCCAGGTGCTCTCTCGTGTGGGGATGGGGAGAGGCGGGCAGTGATGCTGGGAGATGCAATGCTGTGGTCATTACATAAGGCTTGTACCTTTCCAGAAGGCGGGGGCAGGGGCAACTTTCAGTTGCTTCAATTTCTTAATTCAACCGGGGGAATGAATTCTGGGAAGAACTGTCCTGTACATTTAGTTTGTCACTGGGTGGGGAGGGGACATAAAGAGATGACCAAAAGTGAGGGTGTATCCATGACCCACAGAAGTCCCTGGGTACCTGCCCTCCTGCCATGGTCATCAGAATAGTCATGGCTCTGTGCTGGGCCGGACGGTGGATAACAGAGGTCACAAACTGACAGTCCCTGGTTGATTCTAGTCAAAGCAGGCGTTTTGACTGGGCCATGAGTTCTTTTATATTTTTATACAATGATTGCTCACATTTATAATTGGGGGTATTTTATTTAAAACCTGGATTTCTAACTTTTGAAAATTCAGTATCTCTGAACACACTGGGCTCCATCTCTGCTTGTCAGTGATAGCCTGGGGTATAGCATGGGCTTCTCCTCAGAGAGGAGTTTTGTTTGTACACCCAATCTGTCTCCGCCTGGCCCCTGGGGTCTTTGGGTTTGCAACCCTGCTCTATGTGTTGCACAAAGAATTCATGCTACTGCAATCTTTTTTTTAAATCCTCACCCAAGGATATTTTCCATTTATCTTCAGATGGGGGCGGGGGTGGGGGGGGAGAAGCATCAATGTGAGAGAGACACATTGATTGGTTGCCTCCCGCACGACCCTGACCAGGACTGGGGACCAAACTGCAACCAAGATACATGCCCTTGACCAGAATCAAACACATAATTCTTTGGTCTGCAGGCCTATGTTCTAACCACTGAGCGACTGGCCAGAACGATGCTACTGCAAACTTGTTTCTTGGGGCTCATTCTGTTGCTCCTTTGTCCTTTGCTAAGAGTTTGTAGCTCACTTTACCTTATGTGATTGAATCATATCCCATTCTAACTCTACTGCTGAATTAAATAAACAGCTCACTTCGCGGAAGATGCCAGGACTCTGTGGTCTGTGAGTGTGCAGAGCCATTTATTATACTGATCTGAAAAACTAGCCTTTCACAGTGAATTATCATTTCCTCCCCATCACATCTGTGGTGATGACACATCTCATAGTTTCTGAAGAAGATGAAAGCGTATTTGTAGGGATGTATTCCCAAGATGCATTTGCATTTAATAACACTTGTTGGTTTGGACATTATTGTTTCTAAGACTTTCAGGCTGGTCTTCTAGACATCTTATATTTCTCAATAAGTGGAACAAAATTGAGACACAGCATTAAAACAACTAGGAGGTATCACCTCACACTTGCCAGAATGGCTGCCATTAACACATCATCAAATAACAAGTGCTGGCGAGGATGTGGAGAAAAGGGGACTCTAGTACACTGCTGGTGGGAATGCAGACTGCTGCAGCCACTATGGAAAACAATACGATGCTTCTTCAAAAAATTAAAAATTGATCTGCTATTTGACCCAGTGATCCCACTTCTAGAAATATACCCTAAGAAGCCCGAAATACCAATCAGAAAGAATATATGTACTCCTATCTTCATAGCAGCACTATTTACAATTGCTAAGATCTGGAAACATCCCAAGTGTCCATCAGTAGATGAGTAGATAAAAAAGCCGTGGTACATGTACACAATGGAGTACTATGCAGCTGTAAGAAAGAGAGATCTCTTATCCTTTGAGATGACCTGGAGAGTATTATGCTAAGCGAAATAAGCCAGTCAGAGAAAGACAAATATCACATGATCTCACCTATTTGTGGAATATAATGAAAAAAATAAGCTGAGGAACAAAAGAGACCCAGAGACATAGAAAGGAATACAGTTCAGACTGACAAACCTCAGGGTAGGGGGGTGGGGGAGAAGGATGAGATGAACCAAAGAACTGATACGCACGTTTGCATAACCAATGGACATAGACAACAATGCTGGGGGTGGGGTGGGATGGGGAGGAGGGTGTCTAGGGGGGGAAAAGGAGAAACTTTTGTATAAATATGAATTAATAAAACTTGAAAAAAATGGAGACACAGCAAGAAAATTCAAAAGTATAGATACCTGTCATACTGTTGGGAGTCATGGGTTAGTAATCATTCTGGACCCCTTTTTTCACTGACATCTCCTACAAAGAAAAAGACAAGAAAAAAACCACAGGTTAGAATCTGCATTTTCCAAAATGTTTTTGTTCCAAACAATATCACGTGTTGATCAGCACTTTGTTACCCTCAAGTCCAAACGGGGGAAGTTGAAGCATAGAGATTACGTCATCAACAAGATCTCAGGGTTCCTTCTATAAAGATGTCTTTAAAATAATATGTTACTCAGGATCACATGTCTCTTTTCAAGTTTTAAAGAAAGCTACCAGCACACCGATGTGCTGTTTTTTTCCAAGTCGCTCTGATGTGTTAGCATCTTCGATCTGGATCCTTGCCTCGCCTGGGAGCTTGTTAGAAACAAAAAAATTGGGTCCCATCTCGAACCTGCTCCATCGGATCTGCATTTGGACAAGATCCACAGGTGACTGAAGTGCACTTCAAACTTATGCTCACTGCTCTGGAGAACAAAATCCATGTTCTCATCTTCCCATCTGTGACTGTCTGTCAGCGCCGAACTGCTCTCCCCCACTTCTACATCACTGAGATCTGACAGCGACAGGGAGACTTGGCCCTCAGACCGGGGATGGAGGCGCCGTGGGCATCAGTGACCAGAGGTGTCCCGGCAGAGAGAAAATGTTGAAGAATGTGCACAGATGGATGACCCAGATGGCTGGTGAATGTGGGTCAGAGTCCTTCAGAATATAGCTGGGGACAGATCAAAATTAGATTTCTTTTTCTAGAAGGGGCTTCTGCATTCAGAGGTAGGGAGCGGTGGCATGGTGGCTGAGGAATGGTACTGAAGCCTGAGGCGTGGGTTGGAGGCTTGATGCTATCCCACACGAGCTGTGGGATCATGACAAGTGGTTCCAAAGCACGGGCTCCATTTCTTCGTGTGCAAAATGAGGAAAATAATACTCACTCTACTTCATGAGGCTGATGTTTCTGAGGTTTACACGATGTGAGTGAAAGTGCTGGGTAAACCATCATGTAGTCTGAGCATAAAACCTTGGATGAGGAGGCAAGACTTAAATAACTGGTTGGAGTGGAGGACGCATGTGGAAGAGGAAGTAAGTACATTATGTTTACAACATGGATGTACACAGAGTCATTCGTTCTGTCTCCACATCTAATACTGTGGCATTGCGTTCCACCTGGATCACAGTTCTTGTCACCCCCGTGGTGATGCCATGTTTGCATGGCTGTCTTTCCCACGAGACCGCAGTTTCTTTGTGTCAGGGACTGTCTTTGTTATTTTTATAACTTACACATTGAGCAGAAAGTCAGATACAGAATAGGTGGTCAATAAATATATGTTGAATAACTGAATAAAATAAAATCAATGAAAGTGAACATGGCATGGTATAAGTAACCTGAACTGGCATCTGGTAGAAGAGATGACTATTAACTACTAGGAAAATGCATGCTTGCTACTGATTCACATTTCAGGGTCACCAGCCCCCAGCTCGGTGCTCCGCCCTCACCCACCTGTTCAGCCGGTTTTCAGTGAGAGGGACCAGGTTCTGAGATACCCCCAGGGGACCGCTCAGATCATACTTATGTTCCTGAATGTTCAGACTCTTGCTCTTCTTGGAAACTCAGCTTCCATGAACTTCCCCCTCCCAACACATGGAAGTGGGCACATTTTCCTGTGACATTGCTCCCAAATGTTCTGGGAGGATGGAGAACTTGGCCCAAGCTGGGCCAACCACAGTGCTCACGGGGCTCCACCTTTGGCCAAGACCTGAGGTGGGCTAATACGATGCCTTTTTAGGATGTTTGGAGAGAGGAAAACAGGGGGAGGAACAGGCATGTAAACTATAGAAAGGAATTACGGGCGAGGCAGGAAGAATCCAGGAATAGGGAAAAAAAATCTTGTGAAGACTCTAAAAATCTTATCACCACAAAATTTTGTTTTGATTTTCCTGTTTACTACTGTTTTCCTTTCACTATAGTACTATACGGTTCTATTTAGTACTCTAGTACTTCAGTATCATTATACTATTGCCATTATTATAGCATTAACAGTATATTAGTATTACTTGTGCTCTACTGTCACCATTAGTGAAGAATTAATGGTATATTAACAGCACTAAATGCTAAGGTGCTATAGTATTTAGTGCTATTTTCCTTCAATGAGCTCGAGAGTTTTAAATGTAATTCCAGGAAAGCTCCTAAGAACCTTCCAGAGCAGACAGGAGTCGGGGCCCGGTGGTCCAGCAGGGCGCCCGCAGGGTGCTCAGTGCAGAGGGGCGCAGGCAGGGAAGGTCCTCTCCAGGGCACGGCTGGGGCCTGGGGCTCACCAGCCGGTCATGTGCACAAAGGAGAGAACAGAATCCGAAGAGCTTAATGCTAAAGAAAGCTGAGTTTTTTATCTGCCAGCAAGGGCAATGCACACTGGGCAGTCGCGAGAAGGAGGGTGGGAGAAGGGGTGGGGACCATGCTATGGGAGATGGCGGGGCTCTGCCCAGGAGGGGGGTCTGCCTATCATGTGTCAGCTCGGGCTGGGAAGTCATACGCCAGCCCAGCGAGGGTCTGTGTACCGGGCCTTCCCAAGTTCACGGTCCTTGCACAGCGTCAACGTTTCAGCTCATGACACTGACTAGGAGAAGCACATGCGGTTTAGTCTCCTAGGCAAGCGCTCCTGAAATGGAGAGTGTTCCTTTTACATGAGCCATTCAGTTGGCTGCTCAGTGCGAGGCCTTGACTGAGGGCCTGCTCTGCTCAGCCAGTGCCCTTGGCTTTGTGCAAAGACAGCATGGCAGGCTGTCCACCAGGGCTTCCAGCCTAACAGGGGGAGAGGATCACACCGACAAGCAAATGCACAAGCGTGTGTAGGATTCCCCGTACGTGTCTCGTCAGAGCAGACTGGGACCCAGAGGAAGGAGAGGTCATTTCTGCCCGGGGCTATCCTGAGAGGCTTCTCAGTGGAGGTGACCGGGACCCGAAGGCTTTTCTGTTCGGCAGGTCTCCCCGCGTCATGATTTGATGCCATATTCTCACCTCTCTGCTCCTGAGCTCATGAACTACGCTGCAAGAATGAGCCTTATGTGGACAAATCGGGAAACTTTAAATCATGCAGCTTTTCAGCAGGGGAGCAATAGGATCCAATTTGAGTTTTAAAGCCTCACAGCGGCTGCTGAGTGAAAGCAGACCGGTCAGGGGCCACCGCAGGTCCCGGGGAGAGGCGAAGGTGGCTGGACCTCCGTGGTGGCCCTGGAAGGGGGAGCGGAGGAGGAGGGATTCAAGTGACATACAGGAGGGAGAAATACTGAGACAGTGATGAATGCAATATAAGCATTTACTACTGGAATAAATACCAGGGATGCAAATAGGTTAAGACCACAGGCTCTGAGCCCTCAAGGGATTTGCAATCTGTTTCACAAGCTGGCTGGGAAGGCAGAACCTATTGGCAAGGAGCAGTTAAAGCTATAAACTGCAGATGTCATGGGCTAGGGGGACAGCCCTCAGGGCTGAGCTTGCTCTGGGCTGAAAGGTCGGCTCACGAAGAGCAAAAGGAACTGCAACTTGGCACAGGATATGTGATTTGGGTGGGAAGGGGGCAGGAAGTGGCCAAGAATGAAGCTGCAAGATGGTGAAGGATCTTGACAGGTTTGCTATACATTTGGACTTGATCCTGTGGGAAATGGGGAGCCATGGAAGGTCCTTGGGGGCATAACTCCATTTGATAAAGATCACTCTGCCACAGTGTGGAGGGGGACCCCTCAGGAGGCTAGCCCTCTGCTGGCCTCTGCGTGGGGTCATTGCTGTTCTGTCTTCATGTTCAAGGTCGCAAAGCCGGACAGACTAGGCCCGGAGAGAACAGCCCTAACTCCATCCTGTAAAGCTTGGGCACACTCGTCCTGACTCCACGCCTGCTGTCCTCTTGTGTTTCCTTTTTTCCAACAGAAACCACAACATTGAAGGGACAACTATAAAAATTACCCCTGAGCCCGGCCGGTGTGGCTTGGTGGTTGAGCGTCAACCTATGCACCGAGAGGTCACCGGTTGGATTCCAGTCGGGGCACATGCCCAGGTAGTGGACCAAATCCCCAGCGGGGAGCATGCAGGAGGCCACCAGTCAATGTTCTCTCTCATCAATGTTTCTATCTCTCTCTCCCTCTCCCTTCATCTCTCTCTAAAAATCAATAAAGAAAAAAATTAAAAATTACCCCTGAAAAGTAATCTTTCCCCATGGACTGACTATGTCATCGCTTACACAATCCCTACGTAATGAAAACGAAACACTGCGCCCTCCTTGGGTCTCCACGCGCACCTTTTCTGAAGAAGGCGTTTGTGGTCTTTTCAAGGTCACCTTCCTTAGTCTGCTTTTCCTTGGCTCTCGGGGGAAGGGGACCAGAGCACCACGCAGCCCGATGCCTAGCACGGCGGATATGCAGGGCTCACTGCTAACGCTTCAGCAGCTGCTCCTGGGCGGCCCCCGGAAGCCACGTGCGGGCTGGGAGCTGCGGTGGGGGTAACCTTCATGGGCAAATCTCTTGGTTCAGTTTAAAGGGTCAGATGCACAAGGGCTGGGCTGTAACAGACTCTAAGTTGAGACCATTAACACCAGGAAGGCTCTCTGAGGAGGACTGACCCACCCTCTCACTTGGCATTGAGAAAATGTGGATGCCCTACACTTCCTACGTAGGATTTCAGGGGTCATGGTGCCAGGAGTGGAGGGCATAGCTCGGAGATGTGTCTTGAAGTCGTGTTTACATAGCAAACGATGGTTTTTTACCAAGTTTATTGGGTATTGTGGGGCGTTGGGCACTGCTGGGGTTTATGGGGTGGGGCCACAGCCCCCCACACCCTGTCCCCACTTTGACATTGCCACTACCCTACCTATGGCATCTGCAAACACAGCTGGGTGAAGGCAAATGGCTGTCCCCTCAGTGGGCCACACCTCACGCTAGGAGGGCAAAGAGGTTGTGGGACTCCACTCGGTGCCTCTTGCCCCCAGTTTGAAAAACGCTCCTGTCCCTCTTGAAACAACCCTTCCATCCCCTTCCCCTCAGAGGGAGATGCC